GGACGGGAGCCAAGGCCAGAGAGGAGAACCAGGCAATGATGGAGTGTATATCAAAGGACATTGAGGAATTAGGAGGAGAGTGCGAGATGATTATACTAGGAGATATGAATGAACACATAGAAATTATAGATGGGTATACTGACTCAACAGGCAAAATGATCATGGATATGTCTGGAAGGCATGATTTGATCATTTGCAACACTACCGAGAAGTGTGAAGGGCAAATAACATGGGAAGTGGGAAGGCTGCAGTCAACGATAGATTACACACTGATGTCACATAGGATGTACTATAAGCTCAGGGGAATGCACATAGATGGAGGTGGCTCCAGAAGTCTGGGTAGTAATCACAAAGGTATCAAGCTAAGTTTTGGAAGAGCAGCGAACGTGGGAAGGAAACAAGATGAGCAACTACAGGAAAATTATCATTCAGAAAGGCAAATGTAAGTTGCTACTAAACAAATTGAGAAAGTAATCATTTAGGATAATAAAACTGTATGGACATACACAAATCTAATTAGACTGTTTGGGTTAGAGCTTGCTAAGGCACGTGAGAAGTCACCCCGGAAAAGAAGACAAAAGCCCAAGAGTTGGTGGGATGAGGAAGTTAAGAGAGCAATAGCAAAACGTCAGGAAGCGTCTAGGGAACAAAGACATGCTAAGCAGCGGGGTGAACCGACACATGAGGTTGAAAGAAAATGGGACATCTTTTTAAGCTCTAGAAGGAAAGCATCCCTTTTGATCAATGAAAAGATCAGAAGAAAGGGTGCCCAGTGGCTCCAGAAGTCTGGGTAGTAATCACAAAGGTATCAAGCTAAGTTTTGGATGAGCAGCGAACATGGAAGAAGACAAGATGAGCAACTACAGGAAAATTTTCATTCAGAAAGGCAAATAGAAATTGTTACTAATTAAATTGAGAAAGTAATCACCAAGGATAATAAAACTGTGTGGACATACAGAAATCTAATTACACTGTTTGGGCTAGAGCTTGCTAAGGCATGTGATAAGTCACCCGGGAAAAGAAGACACAAGCCCAAGAGTTGGTGGGATGAGGAAGTTAAGAGAGCCATAGCAAAACGTCAGGAAGCCTCTAGGGAACACAGACATGCTAAGCAGCGGGGTGAACCGACAGATGAGGTTGAAAGAAAATGGGACATCTTTTTAAGCTCTAGAAGGGAAGCATCCCTCCTGATCAATGAAAAGATTAGAAGAAAGGGTGCTCAGTGGCTTGGAGAAGTACATAAAAAAGACAGAAAGGCAGCTGCGAAATTTTGGAACCATCTAAACTCCCTAAGAAATGAAACAAACCTAGGGCAGAGGTTTATAACTACAGCTCAAGGTGCTAGGCTAGAAGGGGACAAAGCTATTGAATATATAAAACAAGGGTGACAGAAAAATTTCAACAAAGTTTCTTATGCACCACAATAGACAAGGATGGATAAAGTGGCGCAATGGCTCCATTTTCTCAACGACAGTGGGAAAGGGCTTAGAAGAGGGTTCCAAGCAGTACATCAACAGGCCCTGATGGCATACAAATTATGCTGATAAAGACATTGGGTCCGAAGTCTAAACAGACATTTAGAGAGGCAGTGAGCAGAACAATAATCGATGGTGAAGTCCCTAACTGATGGATGGAAACTTAGCAGGATGAGCATGATCTATAAAGGAAACGGGGACAAAGAGGACATAAACAACTACCGTCGTATAACAGTGACACCAGTGGTCTACAAGCTGGCGATGCAGATTATAAAGGAAAGACTGCAGACATGGATAGGGGATGAGAGGTTGCTGGGGGAACTGCAGAATGGGTTTCGGAAACACAGGAGATTGGAAGACAATCTCTTCTCACTGACGCAGTGCATCGAAATAGCAGAAAAGGAACTCAGGCCCCTGTGGCTAGCATTTTGGGATGTGAAGGGAGCGTATACGATAGCGTGGTTCACGAGGACTTGTGGGGAATACTAGACACACTGGGAGTGGCAGATGGATTCACTAATCTTCTAAAGGATATCTATAAAAGTAACAAGGTAGTTATAAAGTGGAAAAACCAGTTATCCAAGCCCACAGAGGTTAAACGGGGACTTAGGCAGGGGTGTCCTCTGTCACCCTTATTATTCATGATGTACCTACAAAGATTAGAGGCCAAATTAGAGGGAAGTGGACTGGGCTTCAACCTCTCTTTAGTCAAACAAGGAAAACTTATTGATCAGGCACTGCCAGCATTAATGTATGCAGATGATATAGTGCTAATGGCCAACAACAAGGAAGATTTGCAGAGATTGATGGACATCTGCGGTAATGAGGGAGATAGGTTAGATTTTAGATTCAGTAAGGAAAAATTAGCAGACATGATTTTCAATGACAACGAAGGTAGTGAGCTTAGAATACAGGAGGTCACGCTAGAGATAACAGATAAATACAAATATCTGGGCGTATGGATAAGCAATGGGACCGAGTACCTGAAGGAACACGAAATATACTTGACGACTAAAGGTAACAGGAATGCAGCAGTGATGAAAAATAGGGCACTGTGGAATTACAATAGGTATGATGTTGTGAGAGGAATATGGAAAGGGGTCATGGTTCCTGGACTGACGTTCGGCAATGCGGTCTTGTGTATGAGATCAGAAGTTCAAGCAAGATTAGAAATTAAGCAACGTGGAATAGGTAGGCTTGCTTTAGGAGCTCACGGGAATACACCAAATCAGGGAGTACAAGGTGATATGGGATGGACATCATTTGAGGGCAGGGAAGCTAGCAGCAAGATAAAATTTGAGAAGCGATTGAGAGAAATGGGGGAGGAGCGTTGGGCTAGGAAGGTTTTCAGCTACTTGTACATGAAGAATGTCGATACAAAAAGGAGGAAGCGAACCAGGAAATTGACTAGTGAATACTTAGAAAACAGCAGGCGGCCAAACCAAAAAGAACTATCGGTTAAGAAGAAAGTGAAGGAAACGGAGACTGACATGTGGAGAATTGGCATGATTTAGAAGTCCGCACTAGAAATCTATCCAACTTTTAAGCAGGAAATTGCCAAGGAAAGGATCTATGGTAATACTTAGGGTAGTTCTGTACTGTTTATTTATTTATTTATTCACAATACCTTACAGGCTCCTAATTGGAGGATTGTGTAAGGGGGGCTGTACATGGTAAAACATGACTTGAGACAAATGTAAAAGGATGAAATCAAGATGGTACAATATGGAAAGTGCACTGTGATCTAAATGATTGCCAGAAAAGCAATAGTAACACCCCAGTAGAAAAACTAAACAAAGGAAGAGCGTGCATGAAACACGAACTTAATTAACATGAACAGTTAGTGATTGTAAAATAAAGAAAGTTTTGGCAGCATTTACAATACTACAATGCAACATGATACAACGTTAAACAATTTGAAACATAAGATAGCACATCTAGAGAGAATGAACAAGAAATAGCTACGCAAGCATAAAATGTTCGAGTAGGCGGTAGTGAAAGGCTTTGCGATTTGTGATCAAAGTGATATCACCAGGGAGATCATTCCAAAGCTGGATGGCGTGTGGCAGTGCAGAACAATTAAACGCCTTTGTGTTGCCGGATATGCGCTCGAAACTGCCTCAATTATGGAGACGCCTAGACATGTGCAGTGTGGTTTTCAAAGGGAGAGAATGAGGCCTAGTGTTTTGAAGGTATCCATGAAGCCGACATAAAAGGGAAACACACCGGCGAACCTGAAGAGGGTGCAGCGAAAGTTCGAGTTTTATTTTAGTGATACTGAATTTTCGTTCGTAATTTCCGGTAATAAAACGAGCGGCACGGTTTTGAACAAGCTCCAAGTTAGTAATTAGTAGTCTTGATAAGGGGACCAAATAGATGAGGCGAATTCTAACAGCGGGCGAATAAAGGTAAGGTACGCTAACTTGCGAATGTGTTAGGTGGCGATTTACGGAGGTTACGACGAGTGTATCCAAGCGTTTGAGATGCTTTAGCACAGAGAGCGGTAATGTGAGGGCGCCATGAAAGATTGTGAGTCAAGATTATCCCTAGATACTTGAATGACTGAACACGAGATATGACAGGGTTGTTAATGACGTAGGAAAAATCAGAGTTCGATTGTTTGCGGGTGAAAGAAATGAGTTTACATTTTCCGGAGTTCAATACCATGAGCCATTTTTGACACCACATATTTATAAGGTTAATTTCACTTTGCAGGATGTGGTGATCCTCGGGAGATGTTATTTTTCTCTAAATGATGCAGTCATCGGCGAACAACCTAATACTTGAGGAAATATTGTTGGGCAGGTCATTAATGTAAATAAGGAAGAGTAAAGGGCCTAGAACGCTACCTTGAGGGACTCCGGAAGTTACATCAGCTAAGGGAGAAACACAGTTAATAATTACGGTGAATTGTTGGCGAGATGATAAGAAATTTCTAATCCAAGAGGCCAGGACGGGAATATTGCGAACCAAGACATATCGGGCCAAACACGAAGGGGTAGACACAGTGTGCAGTGCGTGTGGAGAGCAAGAAGAAACTGTCGAACACTTGATAATGTTCTGTAAAAGGCTTCACCCTATAGTTCAGGATGATGGCACAGAGTTTTTCAAAGCCCTGGGGTTTAGGGACAGGGAGGGCAAAGTAGACTTAAGGCGGGTAGAATTGACTAGAAGGAGGTTATCTGATTGGTGGCTAAAGTCAAGGCACGAGTGAAAATTGAACCCTTCACTGCAAAGTACCAATCCTCAACCTCAGCATTTAGGGGAAAAAAGATAAATCTAATGATTAGTTCACTAAGTATTACTGCTAGGTAGCGTTAGCCGCCACCCGATCTGAAGGGTACAGCTATATCCATCCATCCATCCATCTAAAAGGTAGAGCCACATCCATCCATCCATCCATTGCGAATAGTTACGTCTGGACGTAAAGATCGGGGCTTAGCCACACCGTTTTTCGATACAACAGCCCAAAGGTACAGTTTCCGTTCTCTAATCTGGTAGGTGTTCTGTGGCCAAACGGCACCTTGCCGTGGAATGGTTGATAACCTGTTTGTGGGTGTTTTCATTTTCGTAGTTCTTTTTTTCGAAGTTCGGCACGCTGTGTTTTTAATCTCGGGCAGATCTAAAGAGTTTTTTCTTGTGTTGCCGTACGCCTTTCACGTAAGTAGTAGGATCCCGTGTTGTGTATATTCATGTTCGAGGATAGTTTCGTGGTTTTGCCAAGGTTGGTTGTCGCCGCTGGTGTCTGTGAATCCATTTGCATGCTGGGATGCGACTGCGTGTGTCAACAGTAGTGTGACGATACGACCGCGCCGTGTGCGCTTATTGTGCGCCATATGCGTACAAATGTACGTACTTACAAAATTTTCGTAAATGCTGCTTCATTGTAATTAATATACGACATCCGTGGTCATTGCCGCTGTTTTGCTTAGGCAAGTGTAGCTCTTTAAATCACGTGGAGCCACTGAAGGAGACTTCAAAAAGGCTATTACCAATGGGTCCTCAGGTTGTCATAATTTTGAGTGAATTACAACACGTCCCACGAATTTGCGCCCGATGCTTTGGGAGTAGCGATGAATGCATATGCGGGGTCCCATTTACAGGTACGCGCGAGTCGCGCTTAATTCGCTCTAACTGCGTTGATAAAGCAGCCTTCCAGGCGTATATAGCTGTAGCATATCCGACGTACCCCGATTAGCCAGCCTTGGGACGTTTATTCGTCACCTGTGCACGAGTCCGAACAGCATGTCTTGTGCTGAGACAGCTAGGAGAAGCGTAGCGTCCCCGTCGTGGCACGCGGTCGACGCCGCACGATCAGCTGTGGAAAAAAAAAGGAAAGGGGGGGGGGGGGGTCATCGCATCACCTGCTGCGACTCTATTCAGTTTTCCCCGTCGTCCCTAATAGGGAGCTTGCATGAACGGTGGCGACGCTATGGACTCTAGGTAGGCAGCCATTTTTTTGTCGGAGGCTGCCGGAGAGTGCAGCAGCGCCGTCGTGTTGGCGGGCGTTGGCGAAGCTTGCAGGTGTGATCGAGTGCTATCGCGACGCCAATTTAACTCCAAGAAGTGTCGCGCACGATGTCAGCCTCACCGCAAGACTACACCGCAGCGCTGTGCCAGAAAGACCTCGAGCGGTACGAAGAAGAAATGATAATTTGCTTCGAGTGTTCCATTCACGCCTCGTGAGGGCAACATGTACTTGTGGCGGCGTGTCGACAACACCGATGTCTGTCATCGCCCCCTGACAGAGAAGAGGTCGATGTATGTAACACAGGAGGAAGGTGTACGAAATCAATGCGGCAAAGATGGTTTTGGGGTGGGTTGGTTGGATCGGAAAGTAGAGGCACTTCAAGGGGTATGTTGCATGTTACGCTAGAAGAGCCCTATAGGGGTTAGTTGCCTTTGCTATCTTCTGTTTGGGGATTTTCACTGGTGCCTCGGTGAATCTCTTGCTCTCCGAGTACTTCGGGCTTGATGTCATGTGCTTAAATACCAAATACCACTCTTGTGCGAATTTCGAGAACTCGGATGTATTGCAAGGATGAAACTGTGGCCCGTTGTCAGTTATAACAGTATCTGGAATGCCGTGGTGCGTGAAAATTGATTTCATAATCTGTATGCAGGTTCCAGGCCGCTCATCTGATTTCGTAATCTGTATGCTTGTTGCAGGTCGCTCATCTTCGAGGAGCGCAATCTTGAAGTAGTGTGAGTAGGAGTCAGCCACTAAGGTTGACGTCGAGGGTCTGTCAGAAAGTGCTGTTAACATTGATTTGCTCCTTTGTTGTTGAACTCTACACAGTTCGGACACTTTTCTATCAAGTCTTTGATGTCTCTGGTGATCCATCTGTTGGGCAAATGCACATCTGTTGGGCAAATGGCGAGCATGCCTTCTCTCTCATGTCCCTCGTGCAATGCATTCAGTGTTGCCTTCCGCAAAGATTAGGCAATGACAAGCCTATTAGTAAGACGTTATTGTGTACTGTAAGCTCATGCTTGAATTACCAAGACTCGTGAAAGTCTTTCGGAGTCTTGCTCCAGTGTGTTGGCCAACCATTTGCCGTAAAGGCTTCAATAGCTTCATATGTCGGATCACACTTCTTTGCCATGGCAACTTCCTCGAGGCTTGCCACCTCCGCTGACAAAATGCCCACTACGACACTTGCATAGCTTAATAATTTGCCTGAGATATCTCCAGTCAGTGTGGGGAGCGGCTGACGACAAGGAGTATCGGCTGTGATGAGCTGCTTGCCTGATATAAGTGTGGTCTCGTAGTCATACCGCATGATGCCTAGAGAAACGGTGGCATACCAACTCTTTCACGAGGGGGGGTGGAGGCAAACCTACCCCACCCATCAGCCAGGATATCTCTCTCTCTCTCTCTCTCTCTCTCTATATATATATATATATATATATATATGTATATGGGATATGGCACAACGGGAGCGTTGTCAACAAGGATAAATATATTTACTTCCCAACAGTTTCGGGAGGAGTCCTCCCTTCATCAGGGGATGAGTTAGTATAACTCATCCCCTGATGAAGGGAGGACCCCTCTCGAAACTGTTGGGAAGTAAATATATTTATCTTTGTTGACAACGCTCCCGTTGTGCCATATCCCATACCTTCATGAAGACTAACTGGCCCATTGAATTATTACTCCCACTATATATATATATATATATATATATCTATAGTCCAGTAGATCTTCCGTGAGCGGTCACAGCGTGGTTTATTTCGACGTTTCGGCCTAGAGTCTGGCCTTCATCAGGATTAAAGGTACAGTTTGTTGGTGCTCAGCTTTATACAATCTCAAATCAGAGGGCAAGGAAAAAGAAAAAAAAAACAGAAAAAAAGAAAAAGGAAAGAAAAAAAAAGAAAAAAGAGAAGACGAGAAAAATAATATACGGTGGACGCCCCTCGGGTGCCCCCCTTCCACTCTTCCTTCCACTTCCCCCTTCATCTCTCTCCCCCATCTCCCCTTCACCTTTCTGATGTCAGTGGTCTGTGTATGTTTCCGTTCACTAACGCATTCCTCCCGATCAGACGGCCCCTCCTGGAAAAGAGCTTTTCAGAAAGTCCTAAGCCTTTAACTACTCGGGGTCCCGTAAACAATTCGTCGTAGAAGGAGGGGTGCCGCGTATTGTGGCAGAGGCTGGTAAGGGGGCATTTTGGGAAGTTCTAAGCCTTTAACTACTCGGCTCCCTGTCAACATTTCGTCGTAAAAATAGGGGTGCCCCGTATTGCGGTAGGCTGTGCAAGCGGGTGCAATGCGAATTCCTTGCACGCTTCTAAATTACGCGTGTAGTGGGGGCCTCCCGGCTGTGCACAGGGTTGCTGTTGGGCATGTCGTGCATGGCACAATTGATTGGATAGTAAAATAAAACAGAAAACAGACGACAGCTGCACTTATATATATATATATATATATATATATATATATATATATATATATATATTAGTGGGACGGTGCCACTGGGCACGGTGGCACCGTCGACATGCGGCTCACAAATTGCCCGTTCGTCTACATTTTTCAGTTCGTCTTCGGCCTGCTGCACAGCGCAGGCGATGTGGGCCTCGGAACAACCGGGGCGACTGCGACTGCGCTGGACCAACGTGCAAAGAGCGACCACGTGCCGACGCTGCCGACAAGGATCTTCTTCGACTATCGACTGCATCAGCTTACCGGCACATGCATCCACACATCTGCCCTGGAGCGCCACCTGGCGTCTGCGCTGTCCAGGACTATATATGCGTTCCTCAGGGAACCCCCTGTCACTGGGCACGGTGGCACCGTCGACATGCGGCTCACAAATTGCCCGTTCGTCTACATTTTTCAGTTCGTCTTCGGCCTGCTGCACAGCGCAGGCGATGTGGGCCTCGGAACAACCGGGGCGACTGCGACTGCGCAGGACTAGCGTGCAAAGAGCGACCACGTGCCGACGCTGCCGACACGGATCTTCTTCGACTATCGACTGCATCAGCTTACCGGCACATGCATCCACCCATCTGCCCTGGAGCGCCACCTGGCGTCTGCGCTGTCCGGGACTATATATGCGTTCCTCAGGTAACCCCCTGTCACTGGGCACGGTGGCACCGTCGACATGCGGCTCACAAATTGCCCGTTCGTCTACATTTTTCAGGTGAGGAAGCAATATGGAAAATGCATCCGCTCAAGTGACCGTTTCTTGCTGGTGTTGCCGTGCCCATGGCAGTATTGCGCTGTGCGTGAATCATGCATGACATATTTCAAGAAACTACTGTTAATGGGTGGAGATATCGAAAGCAATCCCGGCCCCAAGCTCGAAAATATTGCTAAACAACTGACGGAAATCGCTGCAGACATTAAGGATATCAAAGAAAAGCGACTCTCGGATATTGATAACAAGCTTGACGTAATTACAAAACTTGAGGCTGAAGTCGCGGCATGCCACAAAGAAATGGCTTCTATGAAGGGGGTAATCAGGGGCCTTGAAGCAAGAATAGACGACTTGGAAAACCGCAGCAGGAGGTCAAACCTAATCGTTTATGGCATACCGGAACCGGAAGGAGAAACAAGTGAAACCCTAGAACAGGCAGTAAATGACGGCATAATTACAAAAATTCTTCAACTTGAACCTGTGGCCATTGAGCGCATTCATCGCTTAGGAAGAGTTGGACCAAACAAGACAAGGCCAGTCATACTTAAATTACTTGATGCCAGAGAAAAAACTGCGGTACTAAAAAACGGCTTTAAACTGAAGGGCACAGATTTCTCTATAGGAGAGGATTTTTGCCGAAAACTCAGAGAAACCAGAAAAAAACTCTGGGACAGTGCTAAGCAAAACCGCGAAAATAAAGATAAAGTGTCGTTAGCATATAATAAGCTGTTCATTAACAGCCGTGTGTTCACCTGGGATGACGAAAAGAACGAAAGGGTAGAAATAGAGAAGTACGACAAAGTGGAACAAAGAAAAAACGAAGCAAGCCGGCCCGCAACGCGCCAAAGCCAGCGCAAGAAAAAATAACGTTATTGAACATAAACGCCCGCAGTATCTTGAATAAGGTACAGCCATTTGAAAGCCTACTACTCGATCGAGAACCCGATATAGTGGCAGTTACCGAAACGTGGTTATCGGCATCCATCTCGAGTCATGAAGTTGCTCCCCCAAATTATGTACTTG